GCGGCAAGACGGTGGACGGGGCGGGGAACTGACGGCCCAGCCGGCGGCTTACCTGAAGAAGGATGTGCCAGCAGTCACCCCCCACGCGCGGGTGGATAAGAGGGCACTCGGAGATGCCTCTGGCAATCCAATCAAATCTGCTGACGATATTGTCAAACTGGACAAGGTCGAGACGCCAGAGCATGAGAGAGACGAAAGAGGCGCGACACCGGCCAAGCCAAAGGCAGCAAAATCGACCGCCACGTCGACGAAACGAGAGTCGCAGTTGCCAGTGACACCACAGGCCGGCAAACCGCTGTACCGAGTGGGACTCAGCAAGCGTTCGAGGATTGCGCCTCTGCTGAAGTCGCTCCGGAAGACAGGAGGCGGGACGGAAACGAAATGAGGCGACGCTATATTAAGTATATTAAGATGATGGACGACATGGCGCGCGTGCTGTACCAGTGCAGCGCAGGTATGGAGCGTGTGGCGAAAGAATACCCCGGTATGCATACAGTGCAAGCACAGCGAAGGAAATAGACGTCAATGCTTCTCAACACTCGTGCTCCACGTGTGTTGTTCCCCATACCAATCCATGTGACTTGAGCACTACACGTGCGATTGTCCCCCAGTCTCCATCGCGCGTCTTTTCCAAGGCAGGTCGGCCGCGGACGAGATGCCCAGGAGGTGCTGGACTCCCGCGGCTAGCGATGGTGCATTTAGCAGCCAGGCCATTTCGGGGGCATCATGGGAGGGCTGAATGGTGACGGGAGGGTCATGTTGCGCCCTGGACGGCGAGGTGGGCGTGGGACCCCCCATGCACGTCGTTCGTCTTGGCCGCGCCGCTGTCCACTCTGGCAATCTCACGTCATGTGGTGATTTGACGAAGGCGCCAGAGCCCCCCTCGAGGAGAGGCTGGCTGCTAGGAGAGGATCCCCCGTGCGGCATGGGTCAGGTCTTCAAGAATGTGTCCTTGGGGACATGTGTCTCGGAGGACAGGTGGGAGAGCTGGCAGGCAGGCAGGGTGGCAGGTTGGAGGCTCAATCACATCACCCGAGTCTTCTGCAGCGTGCATTTCACGGAGACGGCCATCCGGAACAGCGGGGCTGTCCGCTGAGGCTGCCGGCGACAGCGCTCTCAGCAGGGAGGCGCTGTGCCGCAGTTCAGCACCTCGCGGCCGTCTCTCGAGGTGCCCGATGGTCCTTACCTACCTACCTTTGGTACCTAGGTAGGTAAGGTACCTAGGTACCTCCCAGGTCGTCTTGGTACGGGTCGGCACAGGGCAGCATAGGGCAGCGTAGCGCAGTACATGCAGCATAGGGCAGGCACTGAATGACGGGATTGACGCACAGGCGGCGCACAGGGGTGAGTGAGGGGTGATGAGGGTTGAGGGTTGAGGGTTGAGGAGGGGTTGGCGGCTGGCTGGCTGGCTAGAGGGGCAGACTCAGAAAGGCATGGAGGGGTACAGTACCTGTCCACTGCCAGGCGTGTCCCGCAACTCTGAGGTACATTCTGACCAACCCAACTTTAGCGCGGAACTTGAATCCGCCAGCTGGACTGGAAGAACGGGGGAGACCGAACTTCGGCCGGTTTTCGTGACTCGTTCTCGATTTTTTCCCCCGAGTCCCTTTCCGTCTTGCGTGCGATCTGACTGATGACTGTTGTCTTTTCTCGTTGAGGCACAGCCGAATTGAATCACGTACGCGAAGGACGTCCGACTTGCGATCAGTCCGTCGTCGCTGCCTCTCTCCCTCTCCCCCTCACTCTGAGCCTTGGAACATCCTCCTCTCCAATTACTTCTCTTCTCCCTTCGTCCTGCGCGACTTTAACCCCCCCCCCTCCCTCTTCGAACTCCATTGACAGACCGACTCGAGATGGCTTCAAACGG